AGAAACTCATCTCACCTTCAAGGATAGGCACTACCTTAAGGTGAAAGAATAGAAAAAATATTCTAAGCAAATGGCACTAAGAAATAAGCAGGGGTCACAATTCTAAAATCTGACAAAATAGACTTCAATCTAAAACAAATCAGAAGAGATAAAGAAGGTCACTTCATTCTGATCAAAAGAACAATTGACCAAGAAGATATTACAATCATGAACATATATGAACCAAACTCTGGTGCACCCAATTTCATAAAAATAGTACTACAGGATTTTAAGACACAGATTAACCCCAACTCAGTAAGAGTAGGGACTTCAATACCCAACTATCTGCAATAGACAGGCTGAACAAAAATAAACAGAGAGCTATCTGAATTAAATGATACCATACATCAAATGGGCCTAACAGACATCTACTGAATATTCCACCCAAGCACCAAAGAATACACTTCCTAATCAGAAGCTCATGAAAGTATCTCCAAAATTGACCAAATACTGGGGCACAAAACAAACCTCAACAAATACAAAAAAAAAAAAAGAAAAGAAAAAAGAAAGACTTCCAAGCATTCTATCAGACCACAATACAACAATACAATAAATCTTTAAAACAACACCAAAAGAAGCTCTAGTAACTATAAAAACTCATGGAGATTAAACAACACACTCCTGAATGATGAATGGGTCAAAGAAAAATTTAAGAAAGAAGTAAAAGTATTCCTGGAACTAAATGAAAATACAATGCAATGAAACCTCTGGGACACTTTAAAAATGGTTCTAAGAGGGAAGTTTATAGCTCTAAGTGCCTACATCAAAAAATTAGAAAGAGCACAAACAAATGATTTAACATTGCACCTCAAGACTCTGGAAAGGTTAAAAAAAAAAAAAAGAAAAGAAAAGAAACCCAAATCCAGCAGGTGAGAAGAAATAACAAAAATCAGAGCCAAAATTAATAAAATAGAAACAAAGAAATCAATACAAAGAATCAATGAATCTAAAACCTGGCTCTTTGAAAAGCTAAACAAGATACACAGACCATTAGGCCAGTAAACCAAAACAAAGAATAAATCCAAATAAACAAATCAGAAATGAAAAGGGAAACATCACAACAGACACCCAAAAGATCCAAACATTAAAAGGGAATACTTTAAAAACCTATACACTGTTAATTGAAAGTCTAAAAGAAATGAATATCTAAATTCATGAGAACAACCAAAGCTAAACCAAGAAGAGACCAACAGCTTAAACAGACACATAAGGAAATTGAAACAGTAATACAAATTCTCCCACCAAAAAAAGCTAGACCCAGGTGGAGTTAGAGCAGAATTAAACCAGACATTTAAAGATCTACAACCAATACTACTTAAATTTTTCAAAAAGAAACAGAAGGAGAACTACCAAAATCCTTCTATGAAGCCAGCATCACTCTAATACCAAAACCAGGTAAAGACAGAACCAAAAAAGAAAAATATAGACCCATGTCCTTAATGAACATAGATGAAAAAATTCTCAACAAAATACTTGCAAACTGTATACAGACACAAATCAAAAAGATCATCCAAAAAGATGATCTAGTTGGCTTTATTCCAGAGATGCAGGAATGGTTCAATATACGTAAGTCAATAAATGCTATAAATCATATAAATGGACTCAAAGACAAAAATCACATGGTCATCTCAATAGATGCAGAAAAGGCCTTTTGACTGTTAATACTAAGTGAAGTAACACAGACTCAGAAAAACAAACCATGTATGTTTTCCCTCATTTGTGGATCTTAGCACCAAATCCTTATACATAGATTCCTCAGGAGCCAAGAAAATGGAAAGGAACTAGGGAAGTAAAGAAAATAAGGAGCCTGAGAGAGAGGAAACAGATGTTACCAAGGGGGAAATGGGTAAAATGGGGGTATTTAAATAGGAAGGGAAAGAGAGGGTTATACAAGGAACAATGGTGGCAAAAGGGAAAGGAGGAGCTCAAGGGGTGGCGGAGCCTTAAGAGACTGATATTATCAAAGGTGAAATGAGGAAAATGGAGGTACTTTAACTGGGATGGGAGGAGAGAGGGTTAGACAGGGAGAGAGAGAAGAGAGATAACTAATGCTTAGCTGGTATGAAAAAACAGAAGGAAATATATTAGTTCAAAAGCATACTGAAAAATTATACATACAGTATCTCTACATGTGTCCATGTTTAGAGCTGAAGGCTATATAGCAAGAAACAATGCAGACAGGAGAAACCTCCCTTCGAATTTATTGGCTAGGGTGGTCCAAGAGACTTCCAAAACTACACAGGCTATTGCTACAGCCCTTGATTGCCTCCCAGAACCTGAAGGTAAGACTCTATTGCTGAAGACAGGACATACTTCTGACATAAGACTTGGAGCAATGGAGCTGGAACTAACCTGGAAGCCACCTTCCCTAAAGTCTAACTCTCATAGTTTTGGAGGACATCATGCAAGCTGCTAAGGGAGAACATCAATCAATAATCCAACCCCAGTTTTAAGATCTAATAACCACAACAGTGAAAGGCACAACAAACTATATTGATGCAATAGTGGCCCTTTTATCTGGCAGGTAATCAAAAGCTACCTAATTGTACCTAAAGCCCACTCATTCAGAAGGAACTCATGTGTGGTACTATAAACATAGCCAAAGACACATGGCTGAAGAAGACATAGATCTTAGAGAAACCCTAAGCTGTCACATCCCTAGACAAATGTAATTTCTTTCTATGTGCTAAATATGGATCCTTATAGTTACAGACAAGTATGCTAGTCACCACTTGTGCTGGATAGCTTTAGTGTCAACTTGACACACCTGGGTTGAGGGAGCCTCAGTTGGGGAGGCTGTTGGACTGGCCTGTGGCCATGTCTGAGGGGCATCTTCTTGATGAGTGATGTGGGAGGGCCCAGCCCACTGTGGGTGGTGCCACCCCTGGGCAGGTGGGCCTGTGTTACGTAAGAAAGAAGGCTGAGTAGGGGTAGGGGAGCAAACCAGTAAGAAGCATTCCTCCATGGCCTGTGCTCCATCCAGCTCCTGCCTCCAGGTTCCTAACCTGAGTTCCTACCTTGGGCTCCTGGACGAACTGTGACCCAGGATATGTAAGCTAAATAAACCCTTTCCTCCCCAAGTTGGTAGTGGTCAGAGTATTTTGTCACAGCAATGAAGAAACAAACCAGAACACCACTCATCAAAGAAGCTTCTTTTGCAACATTCAGAGACTATTACAGAGTTCCACAACTGGTGACACACAGAGATTAAGTGTCTGTGAAATGCCCAAAGCTAAGTGACACATCTACAATGGATCCTCTATACCTAAGGCTCATGGAACACAGTTGAACAGGGGTAGAGAAAATACTAAAGCATCTCTCAACTATTATCAATGAAACTCCCTCATGCAATAGAGTGCAATGAACACAAATGGTCACAAATGGCCAAAGTGTAGAGAATAAGAGTCTGAAGACCATGGGTTCTTGGATAAGACTCTTATATTAAACTTCACCTACCCAGGCCTCAGAGACCATGGAGGAAGAGGGAGCAGAAAGATTGTAAGAGCCAGGGGAGGAGGTACATAATCATATGGAAATAGAGTCTTCCAGGCTCCCGGGACCTTGCTCATATGGATCTATAGCAATTGTGTCACCATGCACAAGACCATGTAAACTCAAGCGACAAAAACCCAGCATAGAACTGGGAAAATGGGCAGCAGGTCCCAATTTTAGCCAAAGAATTATTGGTAGCTGATCACTGCTGGGTGAGGGAGAGCTGATCTTTAAGGGAATGACTCTAGATAGCCTGACTAGATAGCAGTGGAACTTGCCCTGAGGAATGTCTGGGTACACTAACTTGACTCAGTAGGCCTTAACATAAGTGATAGAATGCATGAAATTCTGTAAGGAGGGGACTATGGAAGGATGTGAATGGGAGAGGGGGTATAAAGATGATTAAGATGTATATGAAATAGACAAAATTTCAATTAAAATATACAAAAAATTAATAAAACTTATGTGTATCCATCTATCCACATTAACTGTTTCTGGATTTTATGACTCCTTCAGTCTTCTCTTCTCTCCCCCAATCCCTATGACAATTGTTATGCTAGAGTCCTTCTATGTCAGTACTTTAAAATGCTAATACTATTAGGATTTTTTTAAATTATTTTAATGATATACATAAATGTCACTAGAAAATAAAATACTTAAATTCTCATCATTTGACTGTTGACAGGATTTAAACATATGTTAATGGGCAGCCTCATCCTCATTTTGAAAGAACCCTAGGGGAAATCAGAGTAGTTGCATATGAAAGATGCTACATGAAAGTATTACTAGACATTGGCAGACAGGCTAGGACCTGGGAAGAAAGTATACAAGGTGTTCCCATATCGAACATGAGGGCTACTCCAAAATGTACACAGTCCTTCTTTGGTTATAATGGGAACCAGTTGTTACCTTCTAGGTAACCAAGACACATAGTAAAGTCACATGGCTGGATGAGCAAGCTACACACGTCCGCAATTAGAAGCAGCAACAATCACTAACTGGACATCATATTAGTTTGATCCAGTTCTAACTCTGGCATCAGAATTTGGGGATTAAACAGAAAAATGGAGAGAATTAAGAGTTCACGGTCATCTTTCACTTCATAGGAAGTTCAAGGTCAGCCTGGATTATGTAAGATCTTGTCAAAAAAAAATAGAGGAAAAGAAGGCATGGACAGAGAAAGAGGGAGTCAGAAGAACAAGAGAACTCAGAGAGCAGGCTTTCAAAATCAACATTATACCTTCAAACACACGGAAATAACTCAAAACTATTCCACATTAAAATACTGTTGTCTTACTGGGTGTGGTGGCGCACCTTTAGTCCCAGCCCTTGGGAGGCAGGGGCAGGTGGATCTCTGTGAGTTCAAGGCCAGTGTGGTCTACACAATGAGTTCCAGGCCAGCTGGGGCTACAGGGAGACCCTGTCCCAAAAAAATCAAAAAAAAAAAAAAAAAAAATCGTTGTCCTTACCTGTATGTTGTCTTTATTGGTGAGAGGCTTGCCTGAGTCAAACGATTGGGCCATCTGTCAAAATACAAAATATTAATAGTAAAACCAATATTTATTGGCATATTCTTTTAAGTGAAACTATTGTTTTCTAAAATCATTTAAGTAACATTTTATTGTCAAAGCAATATACAATCTAGTAAAAAATATTAGTAAAAATATTAAAAATCATAAATAAGTTGACTCCTTTTGTGCAGTCATTTTTCTTGTTGGTGCATTTTTAAAAGTATCTATTACTTTACATTCCATTTTCATTAAAAAAAATGCATAAATTTATCCATACAACAGTAAGTTATTTGTAAACCTCAGTCTAGTAGGTATCCAATGTATAAGAACTAAATCTCTGGGGCTGGAAAGGTGGCTCAGGGGTTAAGAACCCTTACTGTTCTTGCAGAGAACCCAGGTTTGGAGCCCAACATCCACATGGCAGCTCATAATTATCCATAACTCCAATTTCAGGGAATCCAACACCCTCTTCTGGCCTCTGAAGGCACTGCATGATATGGGTGTACTTACATACATGCAGACAATACACTCATACACATAAAATAAAAATAAATATTTTTTTAAAAAGAACTAAATGTCTTTGGCACCTTAGTTCCCTAACGGAGCTACTTCCCATTATCACTCCAACAATCAACTCAAGTTTAAGTAATACTGATGAATATTTTACCTGTGTTTATGATTACTACCTTTGAATAGAATCTTAGAAGGGTTTCTGGGTCAAAAGACAAGAACATACTGAGAAAACTGAAAAGAGCTGGCTCATCCTCCACTTCTACCCACATTGTATGGAAATGCCAGGGAGGCTGCACCACCCACACCATTGAGAATTGTTATCACTTCTAAAACTTTGTCAATTTGAGGTGAAATTGTACTGCTATTTAGAATGACTGTTTGTGGCTCTTTTCCTTTTTTGTGTGAATTGTGTATTCCTGTTTGGCTCTAAGCACACTGGCTCAAGGGGAACATTTATTGCCAGAGGAGATTGTTGTATCATGGAGCAGAATGCATCCCTCTTATCATGGAACAATGTCCATTCATAGAAGCCAAAATGGATGCTGCTCCAATATCTCCTCAGTCTCTTGGAAGTCACCAACACCTTCCAGGGACAGATTACTCATACATGGGTGATGCCCTAGATCAAGACCCTGTATCTCTTTGCCTGAGGGCCTTCTTCAGCCCTTAGAATGTTCAGGAAAGCTAGCAGTGCAAGGCACTAATCTTACCAATGAGGCACAAAAGAAATGCACCACACAGTGCCTCTGAAGCCCCTCAGTACCCCAAACAGGGCTGTTCTCAGTAATGCTCTCTAGATTGCTTTTCTTCTTGTCACTGTGGAATGTTCCTGCTCACATTCCTAGAATTGCCTCCTAAATATTCACTCCTAAATCCTTATCTCTGGATACCCAAATCAAATATAACGTTCATTGTGAGAAAGTACTGGTGTTGTTACCAGTTGTTACCTTTTCTGAAGGTAATCTTTATTACCTAGAATACACTGAAAAATCAGTAACTGGATCAGAGGACACTTTGGTGGTATAAATGAAAGTTGATAAAAAGGACTGTAGATTTGAGGATAAGAGAAGCATCCTAATAGGGACAGAATGTTAAAATATAGAGCTTGTTGAAGGGCCACGAACACCCCAGCAGTAATCTATAGGACGTTTTCAGCTACTTCCTTTGCAAGTGAAGCTACATTCACTAATCCCTTCTTTAAATAACTGGCCTACAGCCTAATAATATTGGCACCTATTTTAATTATAAACCCTGAAAGCATTTCCTCTTTTAATTACACTTTTTAAATTCCCAATTCAAGCTGGAAAGCCTCAAATTAACTTTGAGAATATAAAATTTGAAGTCAAAATCCACTGGGAGATAAATGGCCCACATACTTATCTCATGAAAGCTACTGAATAAAATTGAAATTTGGGGTTTTCATGTAAGAAATAGCTTTAGACATTTTTGTTGTTTATTTTGGTGAAAGTAATTGTCATTGAAAAGTCTGTTTTTTATCCCACCCCACATGATTTCTCTTTCCTTCATCTTCCTAGACTGTAAATGTGGATGAGCCTAGGCTCATTTCTATGGCTTCTGCTTCTTTTTAAAAATTTTCTGGTCTGCCTGGCTTCCCACATACTTCCAGTGGACTTCCTCTACTCCTATTATTTTAAGTCTCTGTCATAATACTCCCAACTGTATATATGTAACCCTAACCTCTCCCCTAAATTCTAGACATTATTCTCTCTATACCTACAGCTGTCTATGGATCTCATACTTAGCTTGTTCAAGTCTTCCTTCACAACATCCACACATACCCTGCGGGTTGCTCTGGCTGAACATTCTGCCTTCATTCTTGACTTCTGGTTTTATATCCCTTATCCCAACATTATCATTTAAAGCTGCCAGCTCTTCCTCCACATTCTACTCAAAACTGAGCCACTGCTCAATCCCCTCCACTGCTCCATCTCCATGCCTAAAACAGTGTCTGTATTCAGTAAGCACTCAGTAAACATTATATACCAATTGAATTATAATTTTAATAACAAAAGACAAACTATAACAAGAAAAGGCTGCTGACTGGGAGACAAGCAAAAAAAAAAAAAAAAATACTGATTAGTACTGATTTAATCCAGATAAAATGAACTGGTTTAGGAGCTGGAGAGATGACTCAGGGTAGAGACCACTGGTTGTTCTTGCAGAAGACCAGGCTCAAATCCCAGCACCCACATGGCGGCTAACAAACATCCATAACTCCAGTTCCAGGGGATCTGATGCCCTCTTCTGTCCTCCATGAGCACTGCACAACACAGATACACTTACATGCAGGCAATATACACATACTCATAAAATAAAAATAATAAAATATTAAAAAGATTAACTGTTTATACCACAAAAAATGAATGAAATAACTGACTTCTATCTTGATACGAGTCAAACAGACAGACAGTCTATTGGATAGACATAGATCCACACATCTACAACATATACTGTATCTAATGTAGAGGTGCTTTATATGTAAAGATATACACCCACGTATATTCTTATTGTTTCATGAGTATCCCTACTAAGATGTTTTTTAGATAACACTTTACACTTACCCTATCCTACTTTTTTAGATAGTCTTATATAGCCCAGGATGGTCTTAAACATGCTATGCATCCAAGGATGACCTTAAACTTTTGATCCTCTTACTTCTGCTTCCTGAGAACTGGACTACAGGCATGTGCCACCACACTCATTTTTCATTTTTGTCTTTCTTGCAGGTCTTTTTGGAGATTGAACCAGGGTTTTTTTGCATCCTAGACAAGTTCTCTGTCAACTGAGTTACCTCCCCAGCCCCACACTTACCGTATTATACTAATTTTTCAATGCTGCAGATAGATCCCAGGCTCTTACCCATGCTAGATAAGTGTTAAAACACAGAACTACATTCCCAGACTGTATTATAATAAATAATAATGTGGTAGTGTTTTCATGGAATAATAAGAAGATACATGTTAGGGGAATACACTAAAGTAATAAACATAATTACAGCTTATATGAGTGATTTTCAGAACTTAGAGTTCATTTTGCAGGTTCTTTTGGGTCCTCTAAATTTGAGTTCAACCAACTACAGGGGTCTGCCAGCCCCTCGCCTCACAAATACATTCTCCCCAGGGAGTGGCCTGCTAATTTTCTGTGTATGTAGTGTGTGTGAATATGGCACATGGAGGTATGTATAGGCGTGCATGCATTCGTGTGTGTGTCTATGTGTGCACATGTGGAGGCCAGAGCAGGATATCGGGTATCCTCCTCTATCACTCTCTGCCTTACTGCCTTGAGACAGTCTCTCACTGAACTACTGAACTGAAAGTTTGTCATTCAGCGAGCCTGGCTGGCCATGAAGAGATCCACCTGTCTCTACCTTCAATGCTGGGGTTACGTGGACATGCAGCTATGCCCAGGTTTTTATGTGGGTGCTGGGGATTCAAACTCAGGTCCTCAAGCTTGCAGAGCAAATGCTCTACTAGGTGGTTCAGTAGACTTCTCTTTTAATTTTTTTATGTGTATGAGTGTTTTTTCTGTCTTGCAATTCCTGTGGGGGCCAGAACAGTGCATCAGATCCCCCGAAACTGGAATTATCGATGGTTATTCTGTCCTTAGCCACCATGTAGGTGTTGGGAACCAAACCTTGGCCTCTGCAAGAGCAGCCAGTGCTCTTAACCACTGAGCCATCTCTCTAGGCCCTTCAGTAGACTTTTCAATTGCTTTATTTAGTTTTCAGTTTTAAAGTTATAAACTCATGATGAGATTACTACTTCTAACAAAACCAAAATTCTAATCAGTATCTGCCTAAACCAAGGTCACCCAGTGATTCACAGGTCTCCAGGAAAACCAAAGCAAAGGAAAAAAAATAGCTCTCTCATATTTAATTTATGCTCTCTCTATAAAATCCAGTACTCATTTTCAAGGATTCTTCAATTACCCAGTTTGCAAATGTAAATTAAGTAAGTCAGGTATAAAACTATCTCCTGAAATCAAAATAGACTGCACAAAATGGGGAATGTTCTTCTCTGACAGAAATCCTAAGAACTCTGAAAGGGGCTAGAGATATAGTTCAGAGGCAGAGTGGCCAACTAGCATCTACAAGGCCCTGAGTCTGATCCCCAGCAGGGGACAAGGAGGAGGAGGAGGAGAAAGAGGAGGAGGAAGAGGAAGAGGAGGAAGAGGAGGAGGAAGAAAGAGGAGATTTAGACAACATGTTCTTAACTCTTTTTGTTAAGTATATAAATCAAAAAGATTCAAATAAGATATGAGGAGGGATTGTTTTGATGAGGAACATTAAACAGAAATGGTAAGATTAGACTGACAAATCTAAGCTGTGTTGGCGGATGCACCTACAGAGACCATCATGGTAACTATAACGAGAAGCAAAATGCAGTGTACCTGAACCAGAATTCGAGTGCAATAATCTTCAGAGCCACAGTCCCTCCTTCCTAGGCACCTTTCTATGCCAGACAAATGAAACCCATGTTGACGTAACCAGTCTTAACCATGAAGTCTGGCACACTGGAGGCTTGTGAATATACTTTTGTAGGAATAGTCCCTGGGTTTTAGAAATGCAGTCTCCAAAGATACAGAAATACCACTGAATCAAATTGCCAGGTTACCTTAATGTTTGCAGTGGCTTTATAGCCAGCAGGGATTGAGCAGGGCATGTTTTTTCCATAAAAAATCTGGGATAGCTCATAAAAAGCTTCTGAAAAGAAGCCCAAATCTATAAGGATTTCAATCTATAAAAGAAAGAAAAATAGATTTCAAGTTAGTTGTTTCATTTATAAAATAAACATTTTAGAGAAAAATCATCACCATTCTGAAATCCAAAATTTCTGCTTAATGGTGGTAATGTGTTCCCAATTAATGTTCACTAGTTAATGAGCGAATGCAGAAGTGCTGTTTGTGAAAATGCCCATTGACATGTGCAGTGGACCAAGAAGCTAGCAAACAGCAGCAGGGGGCCAATCAAAACAATGGGCTTTTATCAGCTGTGGCTTACTTCATCAGAGACAGACACATAAAAAATACAGCAGCCACAGAGAAGTTTAAAAAAATTAATTGAACTTCTATCTTTGTTCCCATGGTTCCCATGGAAAACAGTGGTTTAAAAGAAAAAGAAAATATAAACACTCCCAGCGTTCTTGAACCCTCTGAGGAAAGTCAAATGAAACTACAATGTGTCAACGAAGAGACAACTATTAATTTTCTTATCTGTAATTAACAGACACCATCAATGTTAAAGGCGTATTTAACAATATAATCATTTGATAGATATACATTTCATAAGGTTTATTTTAATCATTTTTTCAATGTGTATGAGTGTATTGCCGGCATGCATATGAGTGCACCCATGTCCTGCAATGTCCACAGAGGTCAGAAGAGGGTTTTGGACTCCCTGGAACTTGAGTTAGGACAGTTGTTATCTGCCATGTGGGTGCTGGGAACCAAATCTGGATTCTCTGGAAGAGTAGCCAGTGCTCTTAACCACTGAACCATCTCTCCAGCCCCAGGGTTTATTTTTAAGATAATTCAATTGAACTAAATCAGGAAATTATAGAAGAGAAGTTGCTGTTTAAGTTCACAAATTCACTCAACATGCTTGTTGAACATCTCTTAGGAAACATGTCCACTTGGAGGTCACATTTCACTGGGATGTCTATTTAGCTAAATATAAGTGATACATGAAGGTAGGCACAATCAAAGAACAGTTAGAGACTATGGACAAAATGTTGCCTTTAACACTGTGGTCAATGAAAACTGTGGGGGAAAGTCCTTCAATAGAAGAGCTGGGAAACATGTAAGAGAGAGAGAAAATTTGCTGAGGGGACCCTAGGTACAAAGGTCATGGATTTTAGTAGCTAAAACCCATAGATTTTAATAGCTTTAGTAGGTAAATTAGGGGAGAGTTAAGTGGGCCCAAATGATATCCAGGGTACACAGAGCCTTTGGACTACAGGAGGGGCCTTGCATTTTATTTTCTATATGATAGGAACTCATTAGATTGATGAGTATGACAGTGAACACTTGTAATTCCGAAACTTGAGAAGGACTGGGAGTTTCAGGCCAGCCTGGAATACATAGAGAGTTCAAAGCCAGCCTTCATCAGAGTGAGAGCCTTTCTCAAAACAGCAAGGGCTGGGGATATATCTCAGTGGTAAAGCTTTTCCCTAACATGTTCAAGGCCCTGAGTTCAATCTCAGCATGAAAATTAAAGTTATAGGAGACAATGAACCTAAAAATGTCCTTACCTGACTTATGTTTTAAAAATATTTAGTAACTTTGTGGAGGGCAAAGGTCAATGTGGAAGTATGTACAGAACAAAGCACAAAAGTGGATGAAGGGCAGAGACACACACACAACACAAATATACACACATATACACAACACACACACACACACACACACACACACACACACACACACAGCATATACACACATATACACAACACACACACACACACACACACACACACACGGAAAAAGAAAAATCAATTTATCTTCAGCATGTCAATCCACTGTATTTTCTGTTCCCTTTCAGTAGTTGGTTTACGAATCTCAGGGGTGTGAAAAAAAAAGACTTTAAGGAAATAAAAAGAAGGTAAGTTAGGGGAAACTAGTTGTAAAAATAACACGAAAATAAAACATTGAAAGCCAGGAGAGCATTTTTAGTGGGCAAGAGAAAGTCGCTTGTCGCTGAGCTGTACGCTGCAGTCCTTGCTTGAAATGATGATCTCTATCCTCCTCGGTGCCATCCAATACTGAAATAGGCACTTCAGGAGATAGATGGACTCTTCTGGATCCCATTATTTTCATTTGCCCCTGTAAGGAAATATTCCTCCAGACCCTTGTGTGGTCAGACCACTGAACCTGGCAAAATCTAACTGTAAAGGCTGTGTCGTGAATACAACACAGATAACAATAAGAACCAGCTGCCAATCATCCCTTCACACACCTTCCAGAACATTAGTACCCTTCCTGGGAATGTTTGAAATGTTGAGAGTAATAAATCTTTGAAGAGGTTGGCAGGTCTACAGAGAAGCAGAGCAGCCGATCATAAAGAGGTCTTACAACTCTCCCTGAAAGACACTAGTGCACCATAGAAATTTAACCGCATGATCTATTGCTGCCTAGTTTGTTAGAGAGCATCATTGTTGGCTGTTTCCTGACTGATTTTTCTCTTCCACTCACTGACCCCAGTTTACTACGGAAAGGTCAGGCACTCTCTGCTCATACAGGCTGTCATTTCTTCTATGTGATCTATCCATTGCCTTTTTACATTACCTCTGTGGAGACCATAATCCAAGTTTTTAATCCTGCTGTGCCAATAAAATATCACATCTATTTAGCACTGCTCCCAGAACTGTTAGTAGACACCAGATCTGACAGTGGCCATGATTCTAAAATGAACACCCCCCTGCCAGCCAAATCTCCAGAACAAAGAACACAGTTATTCACCCACTTCGAAGCTACTCTCAGACAAAAACCGCCCTGGCTTGATGTGCCCTTCTGAAGTCTAACTGTTAAAAATTCAATCCCTAAGTTCACAGGTTGATGGTATTTGGAGGTGAGGTCCTTGGGAGGCAATTAGGATTAGATGACACAGTGAGGGTAGGGCCCCTAAGGTGAGATTAGTGTCTTTATAAGGAGAACAGAAGAAAGGAACATGCATCTCCTGGTCTCCCACCATGTGATCCCTATGCCACATTGTGACACAGTAAGAAACCTTCACTAGATGTGACCTTCGATCATCAACCTCCTAGCTTCTAGAACTATGAGAAGCTTTTCTTTGTAAATTACCCAATCTTTGGTATTCTGTTGATGCAACATAAAACAGACTGAGATACAAACCAATAAAAAGAACAGTCACTTTCCCAAAATTTTTGTATCAAATTATGTCTTTTGGTGCCCCTGTGGATCCCCACCTGATAAACTCCTAACGGTCACTGCATCCTCCATGCTTCTTGCCCCTCAGTGACAGTTGGATACGCAGGCTATCCAACTCTGACTCCAATTCTACCTCCTCATTTCCCTCCTGTGCAATCTCCACATTACAGCTCTGGAGTCTGGAGTTGCAGTTGGCCACCTGGTTTTCTGCCCCGTCATATGGTTTTTCTTGGGAAGATGTGAAAAAAGCAAACCTACTTGCCCCTCACATAGACAGTGCTAAAAGACCAAAGAAAGGCTTCTGTCTGAGTCTAGCTCCATAAATCAATGAGTTTTATTATAAGAAGATTATAGGAACATGGGTGGCTTAAGGGCAGCTATGCCACCAGGATGTCCCCTAGGTAACTCACAGGCAGCTGTACACAGAAGAAGTCACCTGCAATATGGACGACTCAGAAACAGCTACTCTACCATGCTACTGCATCCCAACCCAACCAGTCTATTACCTACTATATTATACCCAGGAGGGGAAGAGCCTTGTGAGCAGGTGAGTCTCAAGAATCTCTGCCCTCTCCCAATGAGGTCACTAGACTGTTCATGAGGGTCTCCTGCTTTAACTTAAGACAGCAATGATGATGTCCATCCCAGAGGACACAGCTACCCAGAGTGTCTGTCTGGATCTCATATTCTACAACCATCCCACTCGGAACTTCCACTCCAGTAACATCACAGCACTTCTGCACCTTGAGTCAATCCTGCCTCACCTCTGTATCTTTCCAAGAATGTTTCCTTGTTTTCCCTCCCATTCATCTAGTTGTATTCTTTTCTAACCTAAATTCTTCTTTGCTTAGTGAAAACTAAAGACCAGAAGTCACTTGTCCCCTGTTCAAACTTCTGGAAACAGTCTTTATCACACTCACTTGCAAGAGATCAAATCACGGGTGCACATGCCACCAATCTGTGATATGCCTTTTCAGTTTGCACCTCCTTAGAACCAAGGACCACAGGTTACTAACATGATGCTTTTAAATGAGAAATGTTCAACAAATCTTTTTTTCTTTTAAATCAATTTATTTTGGGGTTGTGGAGGTCAGAAGACAACTTTTGGGAGTCTGTTCCCTCACTCTATCATGTGGGGTCCCAGGATTGAATGTGAGTTGTCAGGCTTGACGGCAAGTGGCTTTGCCAGCTGACCCCAAATCTTACTGATGCAAAATCTTGCTTTAGAATTAAACCAGCAAATATTTGTCAATTATTATTTCTTATATTTTATTGAATTTTTGTGCATTTCATATAGAATATCTATATTAGGGTTCTCCAAAAAAAATAAAAAAGAATATGCAAATATGTGTGTGTGTGTCTGTGTGTCTGTGTGTCTGTGTGTGTGTAGGGATTTATCAGCTTAGCTAATAAGATAGAGTATGAGTAATCCAACAATGGCTGCACCACACTGGAGAGGCTGAGAATCCATAGCCGCTCAGTCCACAAGGCTGGGTGTCTCAGTAGTCCCAATCTGGAGCTGGAGGTCTGATGAATTCCAAAAGATTGGCTAGTCTTCAGTCTAGAGCAGCAAGACGAACTCACCAGCGAGAAAGAAGGCAAGCAGCAAAAAGCAAAGTGTTCTCCTCTGCCTTGGCCTTTTATACCAGCTGCCATCAGAAGGTAACACCCACATTTAGGGTGTGTCTTCCAGCTTCAGATGATCCAATTAAGAAGATCTCTCCCGTTTCAGTTAATCCCAGATCCAGTCAAGTTGACACCCATGATTAGCCATCACAACATGTCAATCAATCTTAATCATCTTTATACACCCTTCCCCACTGACACTCTCCCCTAGCTCCCCTACTGGAATTCAAACATTCTGTCATTTGTCCTAAGGCCTACTGTGTCAAGTTAGTGTCCCCAGACATCCTTCAGTGCAAATTCATCTACTAAGTTCTAGTCAGCCTATCTAGAATCTCTCACATTCTTACCAGCTTGTTTTTAAGAGTTTTAGAATCAGATTAATGCAAAACTGTTTCCTTAAAAGTTAAAGAATGTTAAATGAATTCAAAGTTTGTACCATACCTTAAGGATTCTTGCTTCTAAATTTCTGACTAGGTCTTGGCAAATTACAGAAACAAAATACTGGTACAATGCAAGGAGAGGCAGAACCTACCAAGAGAAAATATTCTTTGTTTTAAAATACATCTTGCCAAGTTAACAGCCTAGTAATCAAATTTTGTCAAATAGTAAATGTAAGGTGTACTATACAAAGTTCTATATTTCCATATTAGCAGAAAAAAACTCTCTGGTATAAATAAAATGATCTGCCTAGTTATATTAGTTACTTTTCCCATTACTGTGATAAAATATTTAGCAAAAGTAACTTAGGAAGGAAGGACTTACTGTAGTTCACAGTTTGAGGGGTGCAGTCTATTATGGTGGGGAAGGCATGGCAGCAGGAACCTGAAGAAGCTGATCCACATTGCATCTCCAGTCAGACCCCTGGGGAATGGCACCACCCACATTTAGGGTGGATGTCCTTACTTCAATTAACCTAATCTAGAAATTCTCTAACAGATAATGCCAGAGGCTTGTTTCCATGGTGATTCTAAATCCCATCAAGTTTTGATAATCAAGGTTAACTATCACGTTAGCATACGCTTAATAATTTTATCAGACCATTAAGATGTTATTAGAGACTTAGAGTTCCAAGCACATGCTATCTGTTCTCCCCAACCCAGGTTGTACATTTCTAATGACAGAAAAATTAAAGTTCTATTAATTATCTTCCTTTAAAAAGTAATGACAACATACATGTGTGAGGCCTATGGGAAACATTTCAGTATATGAGATTTCAAATAAATGCAAATTTTAAGGCAAAGGAAATTACATTCATGTCCTTAACTAGTTCTAAACTTGTTCATATAGGTATCAGTTACAATGTATCTTCAATTAGGATCTTTCTACTGGCCAAAACATAATATGCCTCTTATACATTAGGTATCATGTTGAATGAGAACAAAAAAATATGGCAAGTCCTAACCTTTATACTGTATATATTCTATTGATTAAAGTCCAAAAATATCATATTTTTATTTTTCTAGAATGGAACCCATAGATCAATTGTCCTTGAAATCTCATGGATATATGTGAAGACTTATTGAATATCAGTGTTTCATTTGACTGAGCCACTAGCCATCCAAGCAGGAAGAGTTTTGTATAGACATTGGAACAGTCCCTGATCTCAACTCAAACTGGAAGCTCCATTCCTACAGTTGCACCTGCCAGGCTGAAGGTCGAGATCCCCATTGTCACTTTACTCAATCCAGTACTAAGGACTGAACCTAGGGCCTTGCTCATGCTAGGCAAGAACCCTACCCCTAAACTATATCTCCAGTCATCTTTATTTCTTACTGTTCATTTTGAGACAGGGTTTCACTAAGTTGACCAGGCTGGTGTTTAAGTTATTATGTAGCCAAGGCAGGCTTATGATCCTCCTATCTCAGCCTCCTGAATACCTGGGATTATAGGCCTGAGCCACCAGACCTGGCTCAAGGGTCCTATTATTCAACAAATGACTCCCCATGGTTTCATAGGTCTGAGTCCCAGAGCCAATTTTGTATTTGATGGAGTTTCATTAGCCAAGGGGTTTCTTCTAAAGGTTAACGCAATACAAATCAGAAATTGCTCACTTCTTCTACCTGGTTAGGGAACCTCTAATGGTAAGTCTGTTGGAAGCTGCTACCAGCAACCACTTTTTTAAACTATTAGAACTAGTTTTAAATGACTTTGAATGTAATACACTTTTCTGCAATTATGCACTACAAACAGCACAAAACATTTTTCTGCAATTAATGCAATACAAAACATTGAGAGCAATTACCTTTGAGATTTAGTTTCTTTTCTTTAATGAGAAATAAAAACATACAATTGTATTGTTGCCAATTGCTCAATTATTCAGAGAAAAACATTCTCAATTTCTGAAGCTTTAGAGGGAAAGAGTCTCATTTCTTTTCCAATACAGTGATATGCATTATATATGAATATGAGGAAGCAGCTAAGGGTTACCCACGGGACAGAAGCGAGCCCTCAGTCCAGAAATGAATCCAGTTAACAGGGAGCAGAGCAGCATTTGATTATTTTTCTAATAAACGATTTCTTACCAAATCTGTCCAGTGTTCAAAGCATTTATCAACCTCTTCACTTTCACACAGTTTTATAATTTAACAACTCATATCAAAGGCAATAAATATTTTTAATATAGAAAGTTGAATTTAGAAGAATAAGTGTGCCAAGAGAATAGAAAACAGTACATGAGAAAAAGAATAGATATGAAAGTCAGGAAAGAATGTAAAAGAAACAAGAAAGGAGGAAGAATTGGTACCAAAAGCAAATGGAGGAGGAAAAATAGAAATTTAAAAGAACAGACAAAAGGCATGCATAAAGGAAGAAAAGAAATCAGGACGGAAAAATATGTAATAGCCAGTGGTTAGAGCATATTAATTAATTTGGACATGTAGTCAACTTCAGATTTATGACACATACTATGATTTCCCCAAAAGAGAAAAAATAGCTGTATATGGACTTTTAGGTTCCTAGAACATTAAGAAATGCCAGTCTTTTACTACATAGAATCTGTTGTTCTCTTTGACACATCGTTGACAGAGCAAAGACAGAACACAAAGACAAACGGATCTCAAGTTGGGATAGTAACAAGAACTAGGTATTGTCTGTGAATCATAGTGCCCTGGATTCCTATGTTTGACATCGGCGATGTGTTTTAGTTGGTTTCACCAGTGTCTTAAGGAAAAGAAGAGTAAAATACGAAAAAGATTCCAAAAGAGGACAAAATCAAATAGACATTGCTTTGGCATCCAAAAATATAATACAAACTAAAATGTCAAGGAAATACTATGGATTGCTATATTTTTAGAAGTATAGTTAAGAATCCTAAATATATACAATTTAAGACTTAAATCAGAACTAACCAACAGCACATTAGCAAAACTTGAAAAGTATAAGATAAGTTAGGAAAAATATCATAGTGAATTAAGAGGCCTTAAAGTTGGGCGAGAAGAAGTGGAAAGGTTTAAGCAGGAAGGGAGGACAGAAAGATGGTAAAGGTGAGGAGGAAGGTCAACCAAAACTAAGAACGTATAAAATATGGCAAGGTTATTAAAAAATTAAAAGAATTTGAGTGGAGGTAGCCTGTGTGGGTAGATAAAACTGCTCCCAGAAGCCATAGGCTATTAAATGAAAATCCTAATGCCAGGGGTGAGCCACCTCCCTATGAGCTGTTGGTCAGGGAAGTCTCTCCACAATTCAGGTGAATATCACTGCTGTTGACTGTCCACCAGAACTAGCAGCAGTGATACTCACCTGAAGATTGTACATGCTGTGGTTGTAGCACACAGAAAAATCAAGTTGGACATGAATCGGAAGCTTCCTCCCTGCTGGCTAGACCTTATAGTGATGAAAGGTGCTGTGCAAGCTGCTGGGGAGAATTGTCATCAACAGACATGCTCTTCTTTGCACCCTCTATTTTTCATATTCACCTGCCAGACAGGATGTGCCCAGTGATGCAATAGTGGCAAGTCTGTTGTGGGAGCAACCAGCCTCTTTCTGGTTGGAACTGAAGCCTACTGTATGGGAGGGAATTGGTGTCTGGCAATGTCAACCTAGTCAGAAGCTCATGGCAAACGGAGGCCATAGACACTAGTGGGGAGGAAGATCCTGCTGTTGTTTTGATAAATGGACATGGGATGTCCTTTCAAATGCCTTCTAAATCATTATATTTATCCCCATCAATTAGTGCTGCTGTTGGCTTTAGTCAGAGAAGCTCCTTTTTGCAATGGGCAGAGGTAACTGCAGAGACTCATAACTGGTCCAAGTGCTGAGTATAAGTGACAGCTGAGTGCTCAGCTATAAATGGAACAGCTATGTCATCCCCTCCAAAGCTCAGAAGACATCATGGAAAAGAGGACACAAAGAATGTCAGCACCAGAGGCAGGGCAACAGCGTTCTGAGTGCTGTCTTCTGAGTATGCTATAGTCACGGCACTCTTGAACTCACAGCAGCTACGCTCACCTGCACAAGACTGGACCCAGCAATATCCTGTCATCAAGGGGAGAGAGAATCATGAGGCCCCAGACCTTTCCTGAGGATTTATAGGCAGCTAGAGGGGAAGTTCCACCATCTCCCTCATGATCTAATGATCACTGGGGAGGGAGAGACATTTTCTTCAGTGGCATAGCCACTGGTAAGGTGCCCATCCTCCTATAAATAACCTCTCATCAACGTTTCTGTAAGAAATCCTAATGAAACTCATTAGATCATATATAGATAGATAGAGATTGATATTCATATATATATGTGTATATATTATATATATGAAATTAGAAGGGGGACTAGCTGGAAAGAAGATCAATGGTAGTAGGAGGGGACAAGAGGCAGTAATGGGGTGAATAGGAGTCCCATTATGATGTATATTTAATATATGAGATAATAAAAACCATCATATAGACAACAAAAAAGTGAGAGAAATTACTTACTATTAGATTGTGTTTAGCATAATGCAGTTCTCGGATGATGTAATATAAGCTTGCGATGACAGTACAGATGTCAGCTCTGTACTTATCTGAGAAGAGCTCAATGCCTGGGAGAAGCTGAGTGATTTCATACTGAGCATAGCTATGCTCAGCTTTGGGATTCGGAAGTGTAGTGCGAAGCAAACTCTGAAAATGAAAATGGTGAAATAAAGAGCTACAAGTTGCATTTGCAGCAAGAAACAAACAAGAAAAGGTAGGTGTGTCACTTCCTGAGATGCTTAGAACATGCTCAGCATACTGTGCTCTGCAGTAAATAGCACTTATTAATATTATCATCCTTAGAGGTTCCAATTGCTTTTATCTCTCCAGAAGGGCTTTGCAAATTCCATGGTAATAGTATACTTATTATTTCCAAAGAAATTATCATTACATTATCATTGGTGAGGCCTGTGTTGGGCACTGTTGATAAATTCTTTATAAACATTAGTTCCCTTAATTCTCATCTAACCCACTCTTAGAACAAAGGAATATTATTTCACAAATGATATAATTAAAGCTTAAACAATTAACTTATCTGAGGTTACACAGTAAATGATCAGAGAAAAAAAGATTCTAAGTCATGTCTATTTAACTCAAAACACTATGCTATTTGAATGTACCAAATTACAGGTAGGGGGAATGGCAACTTGAAGTCTAAATGAGACAGGGGAGATTCTAAATCTCTTAGATAATTTATATCACTAGCATTCTACCACACTGATAGGTAAAGAAGGTGAATTTATAAAACCAAATTTTATATTTGGAACTGCACCCGTGCTATGCCCATGGAGGCCAGAAGAGGATGTCGGATTCCCTGGAGCTGGAGTTACAAATGGTTGTTAGTCACCATATGAGTCCTGGGAATCGAAACCAGGTCCTCTGCAAGAGCAGCCAGTGCTCTTACCTGCTGAGCCATCTCTAGCCTAGAACTGTTTTTTTTTTTTTAACTAATCTTAATGTTTACACATTTGCTGATGTCAAACATGTTACAAAATTATTTATAATATATCAAGGAAGACTTCAATCAGATTATTCATTAACTCTATAAAACATCCTACTCTAAAAGATTAATGCAGCTGTTTATATCACAAACTTGCTTTGAAAAATCATTTTAGGGGCTGGAGAGATGGCTCAGTGATTAGAATCACTGGCTTCTTTTGCAGAAGACCTGGGTTTGACTCCCAGCACCCACATGGCAGCTATCAACCATCCTAACTCCAGTTCCAGGGAATTCGATGCCCTCTTCTGACCTCTGAGGGCATTGCACGGCACAGGTGCACTTACATGCAGAAAATACACTCATACACATAAAATAAAAATAATAAAATATTTTTTAAAAAGAAAAAGAAAAGTCATTTTAAAAACTAACAAGCTTCTAAAATAAATCTCATCAGCTAATTTTTATTTTAGGGGCAACATTATCAGTGTAGTCATATTTAATGTTCACATTAAACAAAAAGTGGAGCATTTTTAATCACATATTTTCTAGAACATAAACAGTCTAGAACAAAGAATATCAGAAACTAAAGATGCTAAAAGTGCAGCATAAGGAGTCAGATTTGGACCGCCTCTCCTTTAACTGCTTGCCTCCATTTCTCTTCCCTTTCAAGCAGTATTTCAGTGTAGGACAATGGCAACATCTGGCCTTAAATTTGAGAAAGCGTTTCCCAAAGAACTTATCAACCTGGATTTCAGAAACTATCTTTCAACTATGATACACAGAGCAAGGGCATCAGTCCATCCATCATAGCAAACAGAACTTCAGCAGAATGCAAAGGCCAGGCTACATCCTGACTTCCCTGTTTCAGACAAAAGCTCCTTTCTGTTTCAGTGAACTTATACCCAAATCCTGAGAAATTCAAATAAACCTTCAGTTTATTTCTTGCCTTCATTTTATGATATGTTTTCATGTAGCTGAGCACAACTTTATTTACCGAAAAGGTCCCCCTGGCAACTGTTAGAGTCAAGTGGCTGGTTTCACAGGGATGGCTAATAATATAATCCTACTAGGCATAGAAGACTTAGTTTCCCTATGTGTAAAACTCTGTTGAGTGTGGAAGAGGAAAGAAGGTGCCAGCAGGTTCAACCAACACAGGAAAGGGGCTTGTGCATTTCACTGTGGCTCAAGGTGCTCATCTACCTATTGAGTTTTAGGCTCAGGCCACATCACTGCACCTTTTTTACTGATTGAATGAATAGTGGTGCCACTCCAGAAAAAAAATATGCAAAACATCACCTGAAAGAGCAAGGCAGACAAAACGCAGCAGTTGGTTCTTTTCTTGACATTCAGGGTCTTAATAAATCTAAATAAGTACAAGAAAAACTGGTTAGTAGACCATATTCCAAAACATTTTGATATAAATGTATTTACGGATATGTTTAGAACCCAGAAGATATGAGAAAAATATGCATACAAGAAAACTTCATAAAAAATAAAGAAGAAAATAAAAACCTACCCTCAAATCTTACCAATTAAACATGGTTTCTGATAACATTTCGGTCAGTTTTCTTCTGGATTCTTTTTCTCTTTACAGTTGTACACAGGGAAACATAAACATATACATACTAAGACTACAATTATACAATATAGCCAAGTGTAGTGGTGCAGTCTTTAGTCCCAACACTTGGGAGGCAGAGGCAGGCATATCTCTGTGAGATTGAGACCAGCCGGCTCCAGGGCGACCTGTCTCAAAAATAACAACAAAAAATTATATAATATATACTATACAAGTAAAATTTTTATTCACGGATTTGATAAACTCAATCATTATTTCAAAGAACTATAATATTTTATTGTATGAATATAAAAATATCTTTCACTTGGGTTTCATCCCAAGGCTAATATGTCTTGTTATAAATATATAAATGTTTGCATCATATTTTTGAGCACTTATCTTATTAATTCCACTAGCTAAATCCCTAGAAGGGCAAAATTTGGCAAAAGAAGGAACGAGAGATCAAGGTTTAGAGACATGTGGGTGAACAACACCTCCAAAGCCTGCAGCTGTTCATTGCCTAGCTGCTCACATTGAGCATCTCCAACAAAACTCAGAATCATGTCTCTCTCTATTACAACTGTCTCCTTTTCTATCTCTTAGAAGAGTCTGAATTTTCTTTCTATGTGTCCTGAAACCTACTTCTGCAGCTATAAGTCAAATTATCCTCTCTTAAATGTTACTTATATCAAACCAGGCAACTCGCCTGGCTGCATTAATAACGTCGTCCAACTGAGTTTATCTCTGTGTGGGTATATAAGGTGGGGCTTCCTACTGAAGAGTTTCCTCTACTCTGAGTGTCTGAGAACAGCTTCAAGTCTCTGTGGACTCACACCTCACGTGGCAGTCAAACTGGAACCAAGAGATGGCTTTCTTGGTTGGAATCACTAGGTGATAACTTCAGAGGTGTGGAGCTGAGGTGGCCCCAGAAAGGCATTCTGTCACTGTTCCTTCCCAGAGGGTGAATCTTCCTCTCTGGCTTTTCTACCCCTCACTCCAAGCTCTCCCAAGTCATAAATTTATTGTATGTACAAAGGTGTGTATGTTGTGTTCACATGTATTTCCAAGAATACAAAAGGTCAAAACTGACACATCTTTCACATGCAGTTTTTTTTTTTTTTTTTTTTTTGGTCTTTTTGAGACAGGATCTCCCTGTAACCCCAGCTGTCCTGGAACTTACTATGTAGACCAGGCTGGCCTCAAACTCACAGAGATCCACCTGCTTCTGCCTCCCAAGTGCTGGGACTAAAGGCGTGTGCCACCATATCCAGCTCACATCCACTACTTTTAAAGCAATTTATTCCTTCTTCTATTTCCAAAAAAATACTAATTTTATGAAAACTAAAAGAAGTTTTACTGGTAACTTGCATTAAGCTCAAAATATGATATAGAGTTCTGCTCAACACCATATAGGTGAATTAAGGAAGTAACTGGAGCGGAAAGGCTACCTCTCTGTACTTTGGAAACTTCCTATAATTATTATGAAAGGTGTTTTGTAAGTGTTAACATGCAGAAAACATGGTGATAAAGATTCACATGTATGTGTGGAAGGCTGAATACAGCTCTGAAAGACATCTATACTCTACAGGACCCTTACATGTGCAGAAAAGACTATGAAGATGCAATTATACTAAGGCCCTTGAGATAGGGTACTTATCTTCATTTATCTTGATGGGGCCAAAGTAATCACAATGGTACTTACAAAAGGGCAAGAGGATAAGAAGTGCAGAAGGAAATGCGATGGTGGAGGAAAAGGCCAGCGAGAGTAAGAGCTAGAGAGAGAGAAAGAGAGAGAAAGACAGAGAGAGAGACAGAGACAGAGGGACAGAGAGAGAGGGAGAGAGAACAGGAAGAGAGGAAGGTAACAGGCTGCTGATCTTAAAGATTAATGATGGGGCTGTAAGCCACAGATACAGGAGGAACCTAAAGCTGGAAAAGACCAGAGAACAGATTCTCCCTAGAGCTGCCAGAGAAGGCACAGAGGAGGCATCCCTGCCAACACCTTGGCATTAGGACTTTTGAACATCCTAACTGTAAGATAGTAAATATGTGCAGGAGTTAAGGCTGTAGCTCTGTGGTTGAGTGCTTGCTTAGCATGAAAGAAGCCAGGGATTTGATTCTCAGCATCACAAAGCACTAAAAATGTGCTTCATTTTATGAAAATGTTCATAGCAATGTGTTGCACAGCAAAAACAAATGCTATTATGTTGTGGGCTACGTGGGATGCCCTCAGAATTAGTTTGCTGGGGTTATAACCCCCAGTAACCTCAGAATGTAAGTGCACCTGGAGATAGGGTCTTTCAAGGGGTGCTCAAATTAAAGTTATAGAAAGGATTAAGGATGGGCCCTAATCTAATGATTGGTATCCTTATAAATCATAAAAGAGATAAAAAGGCAGATCCATAAGGAAGGCCATGGGAGGACACAGGAAAAAGTGACCATCTACTGAAAGGCAACAGCCAACGCCTTCATCTCAGATGGCCATCTTCTAACACTAATATGACACGTCTGTTGTTAAGGCCTTCACTCTATGCTATTTTGTTATGTAAGCCAAGCAGTCTAGTAGAATATGTCATGAAAGTTTCACCACCACAGTTTACAGGTGAAGACACAGAGGCTGAGGCTCTGAAAGGGTGAGTGACACACTGAGGACACCGGGTTACTAGGATACTCTTGAGCTAGGCCTAAACATGAACCAGTCAGGCTGCTATATTCTTGCCCCCTTACCAACCATTTCTTTACTCTTCATTCAACAAATTGTTACTGAATACCCACTCCATGCCAGGCACTTGGGGTACACCAGTGAGGCCACATGGCATATCTTGGGGGAGAGAAGTATCACAGGAAAAAATGATATATGTAATAAAAAAGGTACCTGTATTCACCCTGTATGGTATGGCCACCACTGCCCAGGAACCCCGTGTGCCTGAGGCAAGGCACTCAATGTGGCACAGTTGGGCCACACACACACCATAGCTGGACTGTGACTTGCTCCTTCCTCCTACTCACTGTGCTATCTTTGCTGAGATCACTGCACCTTGCAAACATCCCCAAATGCCAAGTTTTGACAGAAATTCTTCGCTGTAGTCTTTGAAACCAGGAGGTGAAAAGCTGTTGGTGGCACTGGGGAGGGACATGCCAAATTCTCTCCAGGTGTGTAGCACATCTTGTTTTCCGAATATATCATCAAGAGCTTGACTCCAACACTTAAAAGCAGCCCTAAAATGAAGAGAGTACCAAGAAGGAGGTTTTCTGAGGCCTGTAATCACATTAAGCCTCCAGAAGGACAAGAAGTCCACTGAGGAAGCATGCAGTTCATGTCTTAGAAGTAACTCCACAGCCTTCATTGCTTATAACAGCCTGTTTTATGTCACTTGATGAATAGAATAAAGGAATGTAATATTGTAGAACTAACATGTATGGGAAAAATTAGTTTTCTTAACTATTTAAAAAATAATGATAGTATTGAAGTCATCCAAACTCAGAAAGAAAACCAGCTCATGTTCTCCTTCATGTGCAGACCCCAACTGACAATGTTTACATTTTCTTGTATAACCAGCTGTAAGTGTGGGTATGTTTAGAAAGGAGATCAAGAAAGGGAAATATTAGGCAATGAGGAAGGGAAAATTCAGGCAAAAGGACAGATGCGCCATCAAAGAGGATAGCAAGCTAATTGCTTTTCTGGTCTCAACTCTGTCGTAATTTTTCCTTTCTTTGTGGTGGAAAAGTCCATAAAAATGTGACTGCTAGCAAAAATGCAAAGCCCCAAGCGGAAGCTCCATGGTCATTCTAATTGTAGAGAGACTCGCTGAGATGCATCGTTTGGGTCTGGGCACATGTTTGAGCAGCTACTATAATCTAGCTGTGTGATGTTTTTATTTGTGAGTTCATTACAGTAAAGTGATTCAAGGATGTTTTACAAACAAAAGTCCAACCTTGTTCTATTAACTCATAAAACTCTACCTTTTCTTTTTCGTGAAGATGAGCAGACTTCCAAGAGAGTGCAGTGCCTGAACTTTAAGACTTCTTTGATTGCTGGCTTGGAGAATATCTGTATTTTTAATCAAGTAAAAGAACAAATGTCAGTTCTAAGAAAATATTTCCTTTATATTTGCAAGAATATTTTCAACTGTGTTATTTCTTAACTGTGTAGATAGCAAGAAGGAAAACTTCAAGTTGATAGTGCTTTCAAATGTCACACAGTACATACACCCAGAGAGAGCAAACGATGTTCTATTTGAACACTGAGGACTAGGAGATTGAGTCTAACACCCACAAAACACGGAGGCTCCGTGAAGAAAGTGGGATGAAGTCAAGCAGGCAGAGGTGGGTAAAGAGACATTAAAGGGTGAGAGGCTACATATATCAGAGTGACAGGTATGGCTGGATTTAGTATTCTAAAGAGGGTAGACTGAAAGCCTCAACAGGGTTATACTGCCTAGATTCTAGAGGCCCCTGATTACCACATGGAGAGAAGTGAAGATTATACTGTAGCAGACAGAAAGATCCAAAGTTTGTTCTTAACAGAGATCTAACAAGATCCCAGCATATCAGATCTTTTTTTCCCTTTACCTAAATGTAGAAGAAAATGTATTTTTCATGTGCATATTTTCAGTTTCCTAATAAAAGCATGCGTTAATGTTTCTCTAGCCGGAATTAAACCTAGAAACAGGACAGGACGCTGGTTTCTAATGAGGACAGCAGTAGCTCCTAGAGGCACTTGAGAGATCTAAGGCAAGTTTCCTCAGCTGTCACAGCCCAGTATCTCCTGGTATATTTCAGGTAAAAACCAGGAATGTTGGGTGTCCTTCAGTGCACAGAAACTTGCACCATGATGAAGGAGAAAGTAAAAAACTCCACTCACAATGATCAGAGTCCAATAAATACCTTTATTTTACATGTGAAAAAAATGGTGTTTTGCCTAATTTGTACCTTCCCTAAATTTTCCAGAAATATGGCTACTGTAGCATTTAACCTCATCTGAGTTATTTACTATTTTTGAAAATCATGTCACCAAACTTAACAGTGCTGGTAGTGCTTAATTTGCCCATACAACATACCTGCATCAGTACACATCTGTAGCTGTCATATTCATGCAGATTTCTCATACAGGATGGAAGCATCTGACTATTTACACCTACTAATGCCTGATAATTTACATAGAAACCCAAAGAGTCTATATTTATAGAGTGACCTTGTTATTTATCTTTTCTTTATATTTACAGCTCCAAAATGAGTTTTTGGCAATCACATATACACAAAGAACATACTAAATGCAGATTTTATTTTAGGAACTAAAGGAAGACTTATATGATGTCTGTTGCCAAAAGGGATAATTAGCATACAATATGGGTGAAGGATATTGTATTTTGTAGAAAATTCACATCTAAGAGAAGAAGAAAGTGATGTCACCTGGAACAACAAAAGTACTTGCTGCTGTCACTGTTCTCCTAAAGGACTCACAGTTCTTGTTAAAAAGAACTGGGCGGAGGGATGCCTACAGTCTCACAATGGTTACAGTCAGGGTAGTAATGGCAGGAATCTAGAAGTATCTTTCATCTTATTTTAAAATTTCATTTTAGTTATTTGGTGGTGGTGGTGGTGGTGATGGTGGTGGTGGTGGTGGTGGTGTGTGTGTGTGTGTGTGCATGATTGTAGGTATGCTCTTGTCATAGCATCCATGTCAGTTCAAAGACAACTTTGTGGAGTCTGTTCTCTCCTTCCACCTTTTAATGGGTCCTAAGGATCAAACTAAGGCTGCCAGGCTTGTGTGGCAAGTACTTTTACCAGCTGAGCCATCTCACCCGCCCATATTCTACTTTTAAAAGTAACATTTTGGGACCAGATGCAATCCCACATTAACACTGAAGGTCATAGTGACAATACATAGTGGCCTCACCGATAGTTTGATGATAAGAAGAAATTACCAGCCCTAGTTGTGAGTAGGGAAGTTTGCTTTTCTCCACTGAACTAAAAACTCTGAAGTGTTCCTGAGAAAGGTCAGGGGGTGTTGACATGTGCATCTCTTCCGTTCCTAGGCAAAACTCCACTTTCCCTGGAGTGGATCTTGAGGTGCTGACTCCTCCTCTGTCACCTAAAGTTATGGGCACAAAATGAGAAAGTGTTAAACAGAAAAAGAGGGAAAGTGGGTGGGAGGGAAAAGGTAGAGGAAAGTGCAAGGGAGAAGAAAGGTTATGATACAGCTGGGCTCCTCTACAGCTAGAGGATGTCATTTTCATGCATGTATATTCTTATGCTTGGTTCTTTATGTATTTGTATATGCATATACATGTTCATGTACATACAAGCATGCACGTTTATATGTGTGCAGATACACATGCACACATGTGCTCATGCATGTAAAGGTCAGAGAACAATCTCAGATGTCATTCCTCAGGTACTGTCTACCTTGTTTTTTGAGGCATGGTCTCATGTTGGCCTGCTACTTGTCAGTTAGGATGAGCTGGTTGGCCAATGAGCAGCAATAATCCACTTGTCTATGCCTCCTCAACTCTGGGATAATACTAGCAAACTTTTTTTACATGAGTTCTGGAGCTAGAACTCAGGCCCTCATACTTACATAACAAGCACTTCACCAATCGAACCATCTCCCCAGCCCACATATGCTTTTCTTTCTTTAATATTTTATTTCTTATTTTTATTTTATGTGTATGAGTGTTTTGCCTACATGTATGTAAGTGCACCCATGTTGTGCAACGCCCACAGAGGTCAGAAGAGGACATCAGATTCTCCTGGAACTGGAGTTACAGATGGTTGCTAGTCACCATGTGGGTACTGGGATTTGAACCTGAGTCCTCTGGAAGAACAGCCAGTGTTCTTAACTGTGGAGCCACTTCTCCAGTCCCTGCATACACTTTTCTTATTCACCCCTCTAACTGCCTTCCCTGTGGCTGCCCCCCTTCTTCCCCGTTCAAAGCCTCTGTTCTTTCATGCTGTATGTATGCCATGATCCTTTGTCCTCTCTTATTTCCCTCCTCGATTCCTTTAAAATAAATTTGTTGATGCTTATTTTTAAATACATTTATTTCTTTGAAACCAATAAACTTGTGTTTGGTAAAAAGGTCCTTTTTGGCATGATTCAACCCATCAGAAAGCATGATCGCAGCTGTACACCTGCAAATAAAGCCCTAAGGACATCAATGTACAGAATCAAAGATTAATAGAAGTATTTTCTTTCGCATCTGCTGTATTCAAGGGAGTTTTCTAGTTTAGTAGAAAGTATGAGAGCAGGTAAGAAAATGTCCCTGTTGGAATAAAGTGTAAGAGAGAGATGATGAAATCTGCCAGACAAGAGGAATCCAGGGAAAGGCCACCAGGCCTGGGCATGTCAGTGGGGAAGAAGAACTTAAAGCCAGAACACCGTCCTTCTGTGGGATGGACCCTCAGATAAACACAGACCAAGGGACACAGGAAAAATACTTACCTTGTGTCTGTGCAAGAAATAATGAAAGCAGCTTTCTACTGTGTTGGATTGATCTGCTATGGTATTTTGATTTTGCCAGGGTCTCTCTAAAGCATCTCAACGTGTCCGTCACATCCACAGGCACACACACAAGCTGTTTGGCTCGTTTATATTCTGAGAAGAAAGAGAGGGAAACATTAAGGATGAAATACTACACGAAGCCAACAAGTCACAAATATGGTTCTAATTCAGAGAATTTCTTGGTCCTGACCTGAAGCTGTAGAATTCAAAGCCCCCAGATCTATAGCAGGTATTTCGACACTTGGATCAATTTTTTTTTTTTTTTGGTGTATTTCAAAGTTCTTTTTTTTTTAAAGAAAACTTAAAATTTTTTTGATGCTTATGAAATGCAAATAACTCTAGATCTTGCCAGTTTTCCTTATGAAGCCTCCTACTTTTTCATAAAAAATGAAATAATCTACCCTTTTCCACTAACCTCTTCAAAGCAAAGGTGTCTTGGGAAAGAGACAAAAAGAGGAAACAAAGAATCTGGGAGACAGCCAGCTGTTCTCAGAGGGGAGGGAAAAGGCAGGTTTCTAAGAAGGAGGGTGCCAAGGAGAAGTAGCAAGGCCACATGTGGGTTTGCAGTTAGTCAGATACCCTGAAAAGTGCCAGACAGGGGAGCTGGTGGGAGGGTTGCTCCTAGGTCTCTGGGCAGTAAGGGAGATTCAGGAAATTGAATTAGGCTGTAGGTGGGCTGCACAGAGATAGGAGGTAGGCCCAGGGGACAGTGGACTTGCAAAATTCCATACTGAATAACAAAAGGATTCACTTTCTTTTTTTATTTAGTATTTTTAATTTTATTTATTATTTTTATTTTATGTGTATCATGTAGTGCACCCATGTTTTGCAATGCCCGCAGAGGTCAGACAAAGCTGTAGGATGCCCTGGGACTGGAGTTACAGACAGCTGTTAGCTGCCACGTGGGTGTTGGGATTCGAACCCAGGTCTTCTGCAAGAACAACCAGTGTTCTTAACCACTGAGCGATCTCTCCAGCCCCAAGATTTACTTTCTTAATAAGCCTAACAAATAGAATGCCCCTGTAAAACTCCAAGGTCTGGATAAAGTAGCAACTTACTGGGTAACCAAACACTAAGAGGTTTGTCTTTACAAAGTTCCCAGTCTAGCTGATGAAATGGGACTTTCCAACACAGAAGAATTAAAGTCACATTTGCAGGGAGTATCTGGTTACAGGGTTTAAAGAGGGACATATAGAAGACAAAACTTAACAGGGGCAGAAAAGGGTAAACGAGAAAGATTTTGTAAAAGAGAAGACAAGAGGTTGGAGAGATGGCTAAGTGTTTAAAAGCACCAGTGGCTCTTGCAGAGAACCTGGGTTCAGTTCCCAGCATTCACATGGCAGCTAACAACCATCTGTAATTCCAGTTCCAAGGGAATCCAATACCCTTTTGCCTAAAATAAAAATATCTTTTTTTCAAAACAGAGAGAGAAAGCCGGGAGTGGTAGTACACTCCTTTAGTCCCAGCACTCAGGAGGCAGAGGCAGGTAGATCTCTGTGAGTTCAATGCCAGCCTGGTTTACATAGTGAGTTCCAGAACAGCTGGGGCTACAGGGAGACCCTGTCTCAAAAAAGAAAATAAATAAATAAATAAATAAATAAATAAAGAGAGAGAGAGAAAGAGAGAGAAAAAGAGAGAAAGAGAGCGAAAGTTAAGCTAACTCTGACTTAGACAATAGGACAAGTTTGAACTAGGACAGAAGAGGTGGGCAATTTTAGATGGTTAGTGTATGAATGCAAACAGTCAAAGCTTATTGAGGACTCAGATTCTGTCAGGAATAGTCTAAGTGTGCACATATGTGTGTCCACACTCGTGTGTGTGCATATGTGTATATATGCATGTGGAGGCCAAAGAACTTCAGGTATCCTTCCTCAGGCCCTGTCCACTTTGTCTTTAGAGACAATCACTGACCCAGAGCTTACCAAGTAAGTTGTGCTGGCTGCCAGCAAGCCAAACCCCAGGGATCTGCCCATTTCTACTACAAGCATGTACCAGTACACCTGGTTGCTGTTGTTGTTGTTGCTATTACTTGGATTCTAGGGATCAAACTCAGGTCATTGTACTTCCAAGGGAAACACTTCAATAACCAATAATCTGCCTAGCCCATAGTCTAATCATTTACAGTGACTAAGTCAATCCTAAAAAAAACCATAAGAGTCAAAGACCATTATTACCCTCATTTTACAAATGAAGAAAATAGGCATAGAGGGGGCATGGCAGGTCAGCATCTTAATCAGGTACAAGCCAATCAAGGGGGCATTCCTGAGGACCCAGAGCCAGCTTGTGCCAACAGTGGGACAGACAAGCAGAAGGAAGGGTCAGAAGTTGGAGACATGCTGAGCAGTCTTGGCCTATCCTGTTGAACAAAGGGGTCTGCCCCAGTCCTGATGCCTTCACTAAGGAAGCAACTTGTGTTTTCTTTAATGGATAACTAAAGAAGGGCTTTCAGCAGAACTCTCACAGAGAGATGGATATTTTAGAAAAATTGGGCAACAGTTATCTTTACAGAGGCAGAGAGGCCAGTGGCTGAGGGATGTTTCCTATAAGACAAGCATTGTGTGTCTTCACTTGACTTAGGTGGGTAGGATGGAACCAAGGAGCCACAGGAAAACACCAGAAACACTGGATGGCCTCTGGGGTGAGAAAACAGCAGGGAGTCACCTCCTCCTCCATCCTTTCAGGGCAAGTGACTTGTTTCTCACACTACAGAAAATAAAGAATCAAAGTAATCCAGGAGATTTATAAAATCTCCATCCAGGCCCCACACCTGCATCCATCTGCCCCTCAGGGCTCTCAGGACCCTGGCTCCAGCCATCTACCTCCTTCTCCGAATCATCCATTTCCCCTCTGCAGACTCATTCTCAACAGTACATTTTGTTGTTTCTACCATCTTTAAAAAAGAAAAAGAAAAAGAGCTCTTCAACTCCAGCTTCCCTTCAGGCTGTCATCCTATTTCTCTGCTCTACTTTATACCAAAACTCCTCAAAAACATCTGCACTCACTGTTTCCCATTTTTAAAGCACTTAGATCTGGGTTCCCCCTCTGAGGAAAGGCCCTTCTCCAGCCTCAGTGAACACTCGCTCATGGTTCATGGTTTTCTCAACCCAACTTCTAACCTTGGGACCCCAGGATTCAGCCTTTAGACTGCCTTTCTTCCCTTAATTTATATTCACCCCCCTTAATGATCATCTCTCGTCTCATATTCTAAATACTCACATGCTGGTAGCTCCCAAATTTATATATCTGACCCCAGACATCCTGAAACCCACATTCATTTATCCAAGGATCTACATGGTTGTTGAGTGCAAAGGACAGCCCAATCCTAATCTGTCCTCAGCTGATCTCCTAATCTAAAAACACACACACACACACACACATACACACACACACACACACACACACACACACACACACACTAAAACTATTCCATCTTTCCAGATGTTCATTCCAAAATCTAGAGCCCTCTTTTTCTCCCTTCACACCTCAAATCAAATCCATAACAAGTCCTATTGGATATCCCTTCAGAAGATTAACCTAGAGTCCCACTATCTCTCACCAGTTCCACCTGCACTGTGTTCTAGGACCCTGTTCCTCCTTTGGAATTAAGTCAATTATCCTCCTAATTCATCTCTTCTTTCTACCTTGGCCACTCCCACTGTGTGCTCTCAACACAGCTTCCAGAAGATTCTTTTTCAAATGCAAGTTATGACGTATCACTTCTCATCCAAAAATCTTTTCCTGCTCCCCCTGTTACTTACAGCAAACACCAAAGTCCTGAGAATAACCTATTAGGACCCATGGAAACCAGATCCCCAGCTGTCCTCCCTCGCCTTATACTGGTCTCTCCTTCACTCCCTTGTACGTCAGGCATGCTTCCAGTCCACAGTCTTGGCACAAGTGGCTCAATTTGGTCTAGAACATTTCTCCCTCAGATCTCCTTTGTCTTGATTCTCAGCTCCCTGAGGACACTAACTGTTAACTCTCAGTGAGGCCTTCCACTCTACTTAAAACTGAAGCAGCACTCTTCCCAACCTATCCCCAAATCCCTCATCATCTTCTGACGCTGCATCTTGCTTATTGGCTGTCTCCATGAGCATGAAAGTTCCATGAAGAAAAAGGTTTTATCCATTTTGTTTGCTACCATATTCATAGTACCTACAACTTACTACAAGGTATGTGCCCAAAAATGTTAGCAAAGGAATGGCTACAGGTCTTCAAAGATAGATGGTTTGGATACATTTTACTAACAATTCCTTACAGGCTAATCTCAATTGATCCTCCTTGAGTCTCCCTCTTCTATCATCCCAGACAAAGCACACCCGGTATTCCTCAAGTTCCTTCCCTTATGTACAACACCCTGCATCGATTGATGTTCCTGGATTTTTTGTTTTGTTTTGTTTTTTCTTTTGCTTGTAAGAATTCACAAACTAGGAATTTTGCTTGGAGAGTAAGATGAGAGAAAGGAGATAAGCAAATACTGTAGTCAGTTCAGGCTACTGTAACAAATTACTGTAGACTGCATGACTTATATACAAAAAGCTTATTTCTCACAGATCTGTGGGCTGGAAGTGTTAGGTCAAGGCACAAATGTGCTCAGGTTCTGGTGAGGGCTCTCCCTTCTGCCTGCTGATAGCTATCTAAAGGTATCCCTTTCACATCACAAAAAGAGGCCCAAAGAGCTCTCCAGTGGGTTCCAATCCCCACTCACGAAGGCTCATGTCAGACTTACGGGGGGCTAGAAATTTAACAGATGAATTTTTTAAAATATTTTATTTATTATTTTTATTTTATGTGTATTCATGTATTGCCAGCATGTAGTTAAGTACACCCATGTCCTGCAATGCCCACAGAGGTCAGAAAAGGCTGTAGGATGCCCTGGGACTGGTGGGTTCTGGGATTCGAACCCAGGTCTTCTGCAAGAACAACCAGTATTCTTAACCTCTGAGCCATCTCTCCAGCCCCCTCAACAGATGAATTTTGAGGAACCAGAAACATTTGGCCCATGACAATAAGCCAAGTGAAGGGATGAAGGCTGAAAGTCCCCCGCATTTTAATAATATGAGATACAGTTACTCTCTCCAGGCTTCGTTTTA